CTTGGCTCCACAGTCGACGCCCATGGAAGCAGCAGTCAAGAAATCATACGAGGCATTGCATCGGGCAAATCTGCTGCAGAAGACCTCTTTAAAGTGTTAATAAAAAATATGTCACCTTGAGGCCTAAGGTGCAACTAACCCAAGTCATGGTATTTTCAATCGCCTCATGCATGCGAAAGCTGGACAATGAATAAAAAAGACTCAAGAAGAATTGATGCCTTTGAATTATGGTGTTGGCTACGAATATTGAATACACCATGGACTGCCAGAAGAAAAAACAAGGCTGTCTTGGAAGAAGTACAGCCAGAATGCTCCTTAGAAGCAAGATCTCACGTACTTTGTTTGGACAAGTTGTCAGGAGGGATCAGTCCCTGGAGAAGGACATGATGCTTGGTAAAGTCGAGGGTCAGCGAAAGAGAGGAAGGCCTTCAACGAGATGGATGGACACAGCGGCTGCAGCTATGGGTTCAAACATAGCAACGATTGTGAGGATGGTGCAGGATCCGGCAGTGTTTTGTTCTGTTGTATACAGGGTCGCCATGACTCCGAACCGACTCCATGACACCCAACAACAAGCCAGAGCAGCAGAGGGACGACTCCAGCGCCTGCCGCTGGTGGCGAAAATCCAACCGCGAAGCCACCCAATTGCCGGCCGATACGCAGAGACCAAACTACGCACGCGCAAAACCAGGGGCGTGGTCGGGGAGGGGCGGGGCCAAGCGCTCTCAGCGGAAACCCTGGAGCCCTTCTGAGCCCGCGGCGGTCGCCCAAGCCGCGGCCGCCAATGGGCTCGCAGGGCGCCTCCCTGACGAGGCGCCCCGCCCCTGATGACTCGCCCCGCCCCCTGGAGACACGCCCCGCCCCTGGAGACACGCGGCGCGGAGCCGGAGCCGGAACACGGGTCTGTGCGGGCGGGTCGGCCCGGGGCGGCGCCGGAGTTGGGGTCCCGGGCGCCATGAAGCTGACCCGGAAGATGGTGCTGTCCCGGGCCAAGGCCTCGGAGCTGGACAGTGTGCGAAAGCTGAACTGCTGGTGAGGGCCCGGGGTCGCCCTGCTGTCTTCCCGCCGGCATCTCCGCCCGGGCGGGGGGCTGCGGCGAGCGGAGCCCGAGCGCGAGGGTTTCAGAGCGAACCGGGTCGGGAGGCGCCTCGGGCCAAGCTTCCGCCCCAGAGTGGCCCTGGTGGCCTCCTGGCCCACGGCCTCTGGGAGGTGCTGCCTCAAGCCCAGCTGGCCATTGGCAAAGGCCATTCCAGAACCTTCACGGCCCCTGAGTGGTGGTGTTTGGGATCCAGGCCCAGACACGCTGCCTTTCCTTAAAAAACTAGAATTTCCTCTAAGACTCCTTGCCCGGCTTTAAATAGGTTTAGTGGGGGCAGACGGCTCCCTCTGGATGGGTCTGACATATGAAAATTGCCAACAGTCACTGGAGCCCAGTCTGTTAATAAGGTGGGAGATCAAGCTGCTTAATACCGTTTCTAGAGGGAAAGAAAGAGGGCTGGGACTCAGAAATAATGATTCCGTTAGCATGGACAGGGTAGCGTTTAGTTCTGTTATATAGGAGTCAGCGAGCTCTGGTGGCGCAGTGGATAGGTGCTTGGCTGCTAACTGAAAGCTGCACAGCAGGGGAAAGATATGGCAGTCTGCTTCCATGAAGATTGCAGGCTTGAAAACCTTCCCCGGCAGTTCTACTCTGTCCTGTCGGGTCGCTGTGAGTCGGAATCGACTCCACTGGCACACAGCAACAGCATACATAAGTCAGAGCTGACTCACAGCACCTGATGACAAGAAGCATGTCTGTAATTAAGTATTTGAGGGAGGGGGTCTCTGTCCCCTGATGATGTGCTGTTTGGGAGGGAAATGACAGGCATACAGGTACTCTGGAATCAGCAGCCACAGGTGGGAGTAGCCAGGGCTAGCTGGGACAAGGGAGGACCAGAAGCACTTCCCAGAGGAGGTGGCCTGGAGCTGGGGTCCGAAAGATCTGTAGGTGGTCCCAGGGGACTCAGAGCAAGGCTGAATGCACCCCTGTAAGCTGGACAGTCAGCCCAGGTAGGGAGTGGGGTGCACAGCCAAGAGCAGACCCTTCCTTGCTCTTGCTTCAGTGGATAGACTGTAGGAGTTAATTTAAAAGGCTCTCTCTCTACCCTGGCACATCTGGCATCTTGCCAAAATTTCCCTGATGTCATTTGCTTTCAATAATGCATTGCTTTGTTTTGTTTCAAGTCAGATTTCTGATCGTACTTGCTCTGAGCAGGGAGAAACAGTAGTCCTATTACAGGCTTTCTAAGGTTTGTCTCATAAATCACGTGTTTAGCCTTTGAACTTGGCCTCTTAGAAAGACTCCCTTGTATACATCAGTGAGGGAGGTTAAACTTCTGCCTTGTGGCCACTGTGAAAACGAGTAAATCATTTCTGTTCTCCAGACAAGAGCAACCAGTACTGCTCCTTCGTCCAAAAAGTGCCCCCAGCATCAGACGTATCCGGTTTTGTTGACAAGCAGCCAAGAAATGATTTTTGGTCACCTTTGTCAGTTATCTGAGCGGTCTTTGCTGTTAGTTGCCTTTGAGTTGATTGCAAGTCTTTTGGAAGCAGATCGCCAGGCCTTTTTTTCGAGGTGCGTGCCTCTGGGTGGGTTCGAGCCACCAACCTTTCAGCTAATAGTCTAGCTACCGTTTGGGGCGCCCAGGGACTCTAGGTTTGTTTCCTTAAGACAGGAGAAATAAAGTATAACCACAGTATCTCCTTTATATCGATCTATATATAGATGGATACTTTTTAAACAAATAAGTGAAGTTCCAAGGCTTCATCCAACCCTGTGTCAAACTATCAACCAAACCTTCTCTGGAGCAGCAAAGTCTAACACTGAAAGGATGAGAAACGGTGGTAGGAACAGCCCCAAGGGTAGCGTACCCACCCTATCCCTTTATCTCACCCTTTCAGCACCAGTTCCCTTCGTGTGCAGAAACCATTCCATCTAAAACTCGGCCTTCTAGGCATATTTTTCCTCCCCACCATCCATTTTCTTCCCTCAAAACATGAAAACTCCAGGGAAGGAGCCCTGGTTGCACAACGGTTAAGCACTCCGCTGCAAACCCCAAGGTCAGCCGTTGGAACCCACAGGCGCTCTGCGGGAGAAAGATGCGGCAGTCTGCTTCCATAAAGATTTACAGCCTTGGAAACCCTATGGGGCAGTGCTACTCTGTCCTACTCACTGTGAGTCGGAATCGACTTTTCGGCAACAGGTTTAATGTTCTGGGATTGTACAGTACTCCTGTCAAATGGATGGCAAAGAAGAGACCTTCGGTATGAGACAAATTTGGGCTTAACTCTTGGTTCCACCACTGGCTAGCTTTGTTGCCTTGAGCAAATTAATTGACCTCTTCCTTGCAGCCACACTTTTATAGCTATAAAAGGGAATGCTAGCACTTACCTCACAGTATTGTTGGGAATATTAGAGAAACTCAGGCCCCCAGTGTTTACCCAGTAAATCTGTTCGTCTCCGCTTTCCTTCTATGTCAGAAGAAGACATTGAGTACAT